ATATGAGTCAAATCCACTGCTTGGGGTTCTTCCTAGTTCATAATTTCTCGTTGCCAATGTGATGTTTTAAGGATGTTCTTGGATTCTGCTATCAAATAACAAGACCATATGTAGTAAGCAATATACTTTATTCTGCTCTTCTATGATCTCTGGAGTTCTCATCTAACACAACAGACTAGTGAACATCTATAGTATTTACTGCAATCATCTCTAGCAACAGTCTTTACAAGCGTTACTTGAATAGTTAAACGCACATTCATGAGTCGATTTTTCTTTACAGGAATATCCCACGCCTTCTTACCTGCTTCTTCGACGGTGCAACTTGTAAACTTGCTACTGGTATGTATAGCAACCTGGTCCTGGTGGACTCAATTCCAATGTCGTTCTACGTAGTTCGATTCAACTTCGCGGGGTCTCTCGCTGAATACAATCAGATTAGAACGCCTCGTCTTGTTTCCAACGTACTCCCTTAGTAACCAGCATTAATGTATTCCACTCAACGCCAGGAGAGCAAGTGTTAATATTCACGAGAATGCCTGCGGAGTTGGATCGATCTACGTAGAACGACAGTTTCATTTGGAACTAGAAAAGCACTCCGGGAGCGCATACCTCCGCCAAGGCAGCGATTTTTTTTTATTATAATAGATTATTGATTGATTATTGATCCGGTTCACCACCAAAAGCTAATCATCTCTTCCTTGGCCCACTTCGGGCAGTTCCTGTAAATTTCATCAAAATCCATCCATAACTTTTTGAGTTATGTTGATGACAATCAAACAAACAAACAAACAGACAAACAAGAGTGAAAACAAAACCCCCCTTGGCGGAGGTTATAACTTTTTGAGTTATATTGATGACAAACAAACAAACAAACAAACAGATAAACAGGGGTGAAAACATAGCCTCCTTGGCGGGGGTTATAATTTTTTGAGTTATGTTGATGACAAACAAACAAACAAACAAACAGACAAACAGAGGTAAAAACATAACCTCCTTGGCGGAGGTAATGAGCCTTTTATGAACCAAAACACCTGCACACACCCTACGTGTCAAGGGAAACTTGAATCCAACTTCCATTATTTGTTAGGTTTAATCATACCAACCTGGAGGTCTCGGGGTAACAGTGTCCGCCTCGTAAGTTTGACCCCACCCTGAGATAAAGCAGCTCTTCAAAAGCGGTGCATTCTGTCCATTTTCTTAAAACATTGAAGCAGTAGAGGCCACGTGGCCTGACACTGAAAGAGCGCATTAAGAACACTTACAGGCAATACCGACTGATTCCCTGATGGTCTCCCCGCCTCCACACGCGCAGTCGCTAGAGAGGCCTGGCAATTATACCTCGAAGCCGAGATTTAATGGCGCGTGTGGAGGCGGGAGAATATCAGGGAATTAAGGCTTCGTTCACATGCAATGTCTATTTTCTAAATTCTACTTATAGTAACTTATAGTAACTGGCTCGCGCTGCCAGTAATTACGCGGCGGGGTATTCAGTGCACAGACCGTGATCATAAGACATACCGCGAATAGAAAATAGAATTTAGAAAATAGACATTGCATGTGAACGAAGCCTAAACGGCTTTCCTTTAAGCAGGGTTGGCCATATTAAGCCGACGGATCTTTTAGTCCGCAGACCTTTCTTTCTAAATGTGCTCTTAGGACAGCTGGCTTGCATCAAGAACGTAAACTTAGTGTAATGAGCGCGGTATACAGGTTTACTATTTACCATTCTGTCACCGGCCGATTCGACGTTGCCAAGGCCGGTGTAACGTGACAGAGATTCCCCTGTTGCAGCTAGAATTCGCAACCAGTGCATCTCAGCTAACACAATCATTCAAGAGACAAAGAACCGAGATGGTAGCACGCATCGTAGAATTCACAACGTCGTGCAGGTATAAGATTAATTGATTAAATATTAAGTTTATAGTTCGTAAGTTAATTTAAGGCTGTGTGTCTAATGTGACAAGTTAAGTTAGTTTGTAAGTTAATTTTAGGTTTTAACATGCGACTATGCACATGAGTATTACGTAACTCCCATGTGAAGAGACATTTGTACTGTAATAGTGTTTATGTCACAAACTTCACAAATTTTATTACAGTAGACTCCTCTTTATTCATCAACGTATATCTCTTATTATTGTTATCTAAAAGAAATCTTAAAGAATGGATTTTTCTTTGGTACTAGCTGCATAGATCACTCAGAGTTCTTCCTGCAGAATGAAATTAAGCCACACTTTTTTATTTTTATGGATGACATCCTCTAGGGACCCCGAAATAGGTGCGAGAGGGCGAAAAAAAATGCTGCTTAAGTAAAGGAATGCTGTCAGAACACGGTTGGAAACACAAATTTACCACAGAAACACGTATCAAACTAACAATATGTCTTTATCCATGCTCTCAAAATATTAAAGCATTGTGAATACTTCTTAGAAAGGTAAAAAAAGTCATGAATAGACGGGCCCGTAGCCAGGGGATTCGAAAGAACCACCCCTTTTGTTGGGAAAAGGTCCACTCTGGGTAAAATTTGATCTAGATACATTAGGTTTTATGAAAAATGGTCCACTTTTTTAAAAAAAGACCCCCCCCCCCTTTTGAAATTGCTGGCTACGGGCCTGCTAGACATGCTGCATATTACCCAATCTATTTAAGGTTATTTCATGCATTTTGTTGGTATAACAATCAATAAAACAAATATCAAACAAACAGCATGTCTTTATTTGTTTTCTCAGAATATTAAAGCATTATGAACACTACACAGAAATGTTACGAAATGAAGCAAAGATATGCTTAATACTACCAAATCTATAAAATGTCATTTCGGTCGATGCCATTTGGTCTACTTCGACTCACACGAAGCAGCCAAACTGTCGGGTGGCCTGACCGACCTACAGCCCACCAAATACCTCGACGCCCTGTCAACCCTTTTTTCGCTACAAAAAACCTGGTATGTGCTGCTTTGGACAGAATGTCACTGAAATTTTCCGGGCGATAATTGCTGGCCGCCGCCAGCCTTTCGCATAATTGTAAAAAAGTAGATATCTCCATGCCCAATATCAATGGCATAACAATCCAAAACGACGGCCCCCTTCTCTTTATGACTTTATATAATTAATTGTCCTGTAATTTGAAAGTAATCCTAGAGATGAACTTGATGGCAAGGCGGCCATATTTCCACGTGGCAGTAATACGCATGTGCAGAAAGCTCATTTTCCGGCAAATTCAATAACGACGTTTGCGACAACCGACTTCGATGGGGGGGGGGGGGGGCATATAAATAAAAATAAAAAAGTGTGGTCTTATATAAGAAAATGAAGTTGCTCAAAGAGCACAGATATAAGGACTAGAATGATAATAAGATCCCCAAATTTTGTCCATGTTTGCCTGTATGATTTCATGAAATCTGTTTAATTCACTGGAACTAGTATGTATAAGAAAGAAAACTCATTATGATGATGTTATTTTTTTTCTTTTCAGACATGTTCATGTGTAGAAGTCTATAAGAAAGCAAGTCGTTGAATTGACGAGCAAGCACCACCCCCCCCCCCCCTCCGCCATGATACAGAGTCCGCTTTCCATTCATTTATACAGGTAAGACTCGCCCCAGATTTTGACCCATTTAGGTCAGGCTAACCCTAAACATTATAACTAAATGGAGAGCGGACTTTCAGTTACACTGACCCTCAGTTTCGTTACATCAGGTCATACCAAAGACCATTATTGAATGGGTGCTGCCTTCCCTTCGGCTACAGGGGTAATGCATGGGATAAAGATCAAGACACAATAATACTAGTCCGTGTGCTTGATGGTGATAATTTCAAGCGCCACATAAATATTTTGCGATATTCAGGTAGCCGAGACCAAGATAGAACGGATATAGTCTGAGACAGATCAATACAAAATTTCAAACGTATTTCACTCTTTAAACTCTTACTACTTTTAAAAAGTTTCCATAACACAGCGGCGCTTTTGCGGGATAACGGATTTTTTTGATATCCTATATTTCATATGTTAAATGACCGATACAAAATATTTGTCTTTTCTTATCGTAAAGAGTGGACACGAGTTGCAAAATCGCCTAGTCTCGCTTTATCAAAGGTAAAAGACTAGAAATTCAAATTAATTTAACGTTTTACTCTGGCGTTTATTGCTGTTGATAGGAATTAACTTAAAATGACAGAGGTACTATATAGTCAATATGCAAACAGTATACAAATAATGGGATCTAAGGAGGGCCTTAACTAACGTGTTAAATGCCCCCTCATGACTCCATATTGCCCTAACGTGGTCATCACAACGATGTATATAACGGCTCCTGCACATGTTATAAGATTGGCGATCAGTTATTGGGTGTATTGGCGCCCAACATGAGAGGTAAGGTGTATGGCATCTTATCTGTATGTATATCAGGCACGCGGCCATTTTTAATTTCTGGTGTAGCGTTGATTACCGGAGAGTGTGTTGATAATATACAGCATTGGTCAAAAAGGTTGTCCCACCCCTAGTTTCATGTGCTTTTCTTTATAAATAATCACATCACTTGAGGTCATTGCTATGGATGGTGATTTTCATTCCAGACACCATAACTAACCTGATTAGTGGAAAAGAAAATACAAAGTAGCGGTGAAGATATCAGTATTTAATACCATTTAATAACATTTATTAAATGTACCCTCAAATCCGACGTTTCACTATCATTTCCACAGAGATAAAGAAATGCCCATTAAATTGAAAAGAAACCACCAAATATTGTCCCAGCAGCAAATGAATAGTTTACTTATTTTTTAAAATATATATCCTTAAGCAGAAGAAGGAAAAAAATCAAAGAACTGTTATCATTTAATGAGTGAGGGATTTACACCATTCTCAGAAAAGTTCGTCCTTTATAAAACACTAAAATCAAGCCTCTCAGTGATCGATAATTTTGCTGGAGAAAAAACACCCTCGAACACGTCTTTAGCTTCTAAGTTTGCCACAGTCCAACAGCGTCCAGTATTAAACTGGCATCAAACGGTGGATAATCTTCGTCTAATAGCAGCTATAAAGAGTTTCTCTCTGCGTCGCTGGCGAAAATATACCACGTAGATGGCTCCAGTGCCAACGGCCACGAGGGATATTATCGTTCCAAGTATTACCATTCGGAATTCTGCTGCATACAACTTTTCTTCCAATATCGCTCCATCAGATTCTGCATGAAATAAAAGGAATAAATGAAAATAGCATTCAATCTGGAATTCATAAAGCAAAACAAAATTTTCTTTTTTTATTCCTTTGTAAACCATTAAAACTGATAGCTAACGTAAAGGATATTGTAAAGTCTTCAGTATTGGCTTTATCATAAACCATTAAGACATCAAACGTATATTTTATGAAGTACCGCAATTGCAATTAATAGACAAAACATACATGATTGAATGAATAGGTAAACAAAATCGTAGATCATACCGACTGTTTCCATTCCAATAGATCCCAACAAGCTAACGAAAGTATCCGAAGGCAAAACGGCACCGGTGACGCCAGCATCGGTTCTAAAACCCGTGGACGCCGTTCCGATGAAGACAGCACCATTAGTGAAGGTAGTTTGAGGGACTGTAGTTTGCTGCCGCACCCGCATCATAACCATGGAGTCACCTTTCTGTCCTTTCATTCCTCTGGCGGGTAATCCTTTATTCCCTTTTTCCCCCTTCATACCAACCATACCAGCCTCGCCCTTGTTGCCAAAATTACCTTGGAATCCTTGCACTCCTTTGTCTCCTTTTTGTCCTTTAACGTCGCCAGGTGGACCTTGTGTACCACTCTGGCCTGTAAAAAAAGTGATAAACACCCTTAAAGTAATATAAAAAAGTAATATAGAATATAAATGCCGGTACTTTCTTAACGAAAAATGTTATACGATAGGATCCTATAAGATCTTATAGGATCCTATATGAAAGTGGGCTTCTTCGTAAGGGTTACTTAATAACAAATAGTAATAATGAGTTGTATGTATTTCATTTAAATTTTATAAGAAAGCCTACCGACATCTTTTTTTGACAAAAATGAATTCCACGTAGGCCTATGTGTATGTAGAATTATTGCTCGGTAATCATGAAGTTAGCACAGTTTAATGAGTTTTTATTTATATTGGTTAAACTGTGTTCTATTGCCTTGACTCTGGTTCCGTCTCGTCTTGTTTAGGCCCTACCAAAGATTTCTGACAAATCTGTAAAACGTCAAAATTTTACGACGTAATATTAAAATTATGAGGCCTTCGTGTATTTAAAATGAAGACAGATGTCTTAATATGAAGTATACCTTGGTCACAATGAGTGAATAGGTGGGTTAAAGCACATAATGTACATGCACAGATAATAAATACATATGTCTAGTACCAACCTTTCTGTCCGGCAATTCCTGGCGGACCGCCTGTCCCGTTTAATCCCGCAAGTCCCCCTGTGCTTTGTGGTCCGCCTGTTCCCACAGGCCCACTGGTGCCAGGTGGGGCACCATAACCATGTGGTCCTTCCCTTCCTGGAGGACCACCCGTCCCTGGAGGTCCACCGGTCCCTACGGGCCCTCTAGTCCCGGGAGGCCCGGATGTGCCAGAAGGTCCGTCTAGACCCGGCGGTCCTCCCGTGCCTAAGCGCCCATCTGTGCCAGAAGGGCCACCTGTTCCCGGGTGACCAACTGCTCCTGGCGGTCCACCTGTGCCTGGCGGTCCTCCTGTGCCTGGAGGACCACTAGTCCCCTCCATTCCTCCACTACCTGGTGGCCCGCCCGTTCTCGGTGGCCCTCCTGTGCCTGTGTGTCCACTGGTCCCTGGTGGCCCGCCAGTTCCTGGAGGTCCTGCTGTTGCTGTGGAGCCTCCTGTCCCTGGAGGGCCTTCAAAACCAGGGGGACCGCCTGTTTCTTGTGGACCAATGGTCCCAGGGGGTCCTCCTGAACCTGGTGGTCCACCCGTTCCTGGCGGTCCGCCTGTACCTGATTGACCATTGGTTCCTGGAGGAGCACCTGTTCCCGGAGGTCCACCAGTGCCCTGTCCACTGCCAGTGCCTGGGGGGCCGCCTGTAGCTGGTGGTCCACTTGTGCCCGGTGGCCCTACTGTGCCTGGTGGTCCACTTGCTGTACCCGGTGGCCCTCCTGTACCTGGAGGTCCATTCATACCTGGAGGTCCATTCATACCTGGAGGGCCACCTGTTCCTGGAGAACCACTTCCAGGTGGACCGCCTGTACCCGGTGGCCCTCCTGTGCCTGGTGGTCCACTTGCTGTACCCGGTGGCCCTCCTGTACCTCGAGGGCCACTTGGTCCTGAAGAACCACTTCCATATATAAAGCGTGCATGTAGTTAACAGAGTGCTCAATATGCGGAACATTTATAAACAATTTAATATATATATATATATATATATATATATATATATATATATATATATATAAACACAAGGCCTGTATGAACCCCAACTCTGAGTTTCACGGGCATACCCATAAGGTATCAGGAGGTGTTTATTTAGAAATGATGTATCAAACCTGGTCATCCCTGGAGAAGGCCTAGGGGTCAAAAGCTTGAATTACATATTACATCTTTATAGTAGGTCTTTATAGATGCATCAGTATTATAACTAATTTACTCCTTAATATCTATACAGTGATTAAACATAAATATTCACGCCGTGTAAATACATGTATATATCAATAGTTGAAACAAGATTATAAACATTAGAATACATTTTTGTGTTCCAAGTTATTGTANATCCGCATCATAACCATGGAGTCACCTTTCTGTCCTTTCATTCCTCTGGCGGGTAATCCTTTATTTCCTTTCTCTCCCTTCATACCAACCATACCAGCCTCGCCCTTGTTGCCAAAATTTCCTTGAAATCCTTGCACTCCTTTGTCTCCTTTTTGTCCTTTAACGTCGCCAGGTGGTCCTTGTGTACCACTCTGGCCTGTAAAAAAGAAGTGATAAACACCCTTAAAGTAAAATAAGGAAGTTATTTAGAATATAAATACAGGTACTTTCTTATAACGAAAAAACTTATAGGATCCTATAAGATAGGATCTTATAGGAAAGTGGACTTTTCCGTAAGGGTTACCTAATAACGAATAGTAATGGTGAGTTGTATGTATTTCATTAACTTTTTATAAGAAAGCCTACCGACATCTTTTTTTGACAAAAATGAATTCGACATAATCAAGCTACATGTATGTGTATTTAGAAATATTGCTCGGTTACCATGAAGTTAGCGCAGTTAAATGAGTTTTTATTAATATTTCGATATTGCTCAAACTGTGTTCTATTGCCTTGATTCTGGTTCCGTCTCGCCTTGTTTACCAAAGATTCCTGACAAGTCTGTAAAATGTCAATACTTTGGAACGTAATATTAAATTATAATGTCCACGTGTATTTAAAATGAAGATAGATGTCTTAATATGAAGTATACATTGGTAACAATGAGTAAATAGGTGGGTTAAAGCACATTATGTACATGTACAGATAATAAATAGTACCAACCTTTCTGTCCGGCAGTTCCTGGCGGACCGCCTGTCCCACTCAATCCCAGAGGTCCCCCTGTACCTGGTGGTCCGCCTGTTCCCATAGGCCCACTGGTGCCGGGTGGGGCACCATAGCCACGTGGTCCTTCTCTTCCTGGCGGACCACCCGTCCCTGGAGGTCCACCGGTCCCTGGAGGCCCTCTAGTCCCGGGAGGCCCGGATGTGCCAGAGGGACCACCCAGACCAGGCGGTCCTCCCGTGCCTGAAGGCCCATCTGTGCCAGGAGGGCCACCTGATCCCGGATGACCACCTGTTCCTGGCAGTCCTCCTGTGCCTGGTGGTCCTCCTGTGCCTGGCGGTCCTCCAGCGCCTGGAGGACCTCTAGTGCCGTCCATTCCTCCACTGCCTGGTGTCCCGCCCGTTCCTGGTGGCCCTCCTGTCCCTGGTTGCCCACCGGTCCCTGGTGGGCCACCAGTTCCCGGAGGTCCTGCTGTTCCTGCGGAACCTCCTATCCCTGGGGGGCCTTCAAAACCAGGGGGACCGCCTGTTTCTTGTGGACCACTCGTCCCAGGGGGTCCGCCTGAACCTGGTGGTCCACCCGTTCCTGGGAGTCCGCCTGTACCTGATTGACCATTGGTTCCTGGAGGAGCACCTGTTCCCGGAGGTCCACCAGTGCCCTGTCCACTTCCAGTGCCTGGGGGGCCGCCTGAAGCTGGTGGTCCACTTGTACCCGGTGGCCCTCCTGTGCCTGGTGGTCCACTTGTACCCGGCGGCCCTCCTGTTCCTGGAGGTCCATTTATACCTGGAGGACCTCCTGTACCTGGAGAACCACTTCCAGGTGGGCCACCTGTACCCGGTGGCCCTCCTGTGCCTGGTGGTCCACTTGCTGTACCCGGTGGCCCTCCTGTACCTCGAGGGCCACTTGGTCCTGAAGAACCACTTCCATATATAAAGCGTGCGTGTAGTTAACAGAGTGCTTAAGTATGTGGAACATTTATAAACAATTAAAATATGTATATATAAACAGAAGGCCTGTATGAACCCCACCTCTGAGTTTCACGGGCATCAGGATGTGTTTATTTATAAATGATGTATCAAGCCTGGTCATCCCTGGAGAAGGCCTAGCGTTACATATGTAAAGTTTGGCTTACATATTACATTTTTATGGAAGGTCTTCATAGATGCATCAGTATAATAACTAATTTACTCCTTTAATATGAATTCAGTTATTAAACATAAATATTCACGCCGTGTAAATATATATCAATGGTTGAAACAAGATTTTTAAACAAACACCTCCTGATGATCTGGCATACCTTATGGTTCAGGTTCTCACATTTCTCGTGTTTATATATATATATATATATATATATATATATATATATATATATATATATATATATATATATATATATATAATCATTAGAAGACATTGTTGTCAGCTGTATTTCGTATTATGGTTTTTAGAAGGTGAGGATATAATGCTTTTTAATGCTATATACGTCTTAAGGAATGCGTTTCGTGGATAGATAGATAATATTAATCTAACTAATTATCCTTTTTACCTACGCAATATCCCACGTAATCTGGACAGCAATCGTCATTCGAAAGACATGGCGCATCGCAGTAACAAACGGTGTTGCCATCGTCATATTTACAGGTACTGTCCAGTACCGGGCAGCACTGGTCCTGTTTCTGACCTGGTCGAAGGGAACACAGACCACCCACAAGTACGGGCAGTGCCAGGATGAGGAATAATACGGTCAAAACACGTGTCACGCCGAAATTGGGAAGACGGGAATGTAAAAGGTTTGCCATTGTAAAAGTGATGATCTTGGTTTCACTTTGCCTTTTAAATCCCAGTACAAAATCTGGAAAGTAAATATAAGTATGCAAGTAGAATATATTGTCAGGATTCCTTACCCTACTGAAGTGATTATACTAACTAACACAACATCCAACAAGATCAGTATGCATCTCGCACATTGCCTTAGTTTTCAGTTTCATTTTTTCGGTACCAGATTTTTTTCGGTACCAGATTTTTTTTATTATCACAACGTTATGAGGAGGGACTATCCTGAGAGGCACAGAATAGATAATTGACTTAATAATATGAAGATTTAGAAGTATTATAAAAGGGATAAAAAATTACTACAGTAGGTGGCAATATTTTCTGTCGTCCTTAAAGTTGAAAATACAGTTCTACATAAATACGTGTATCTGTTTGAAACAGTTCATACTCTGTCGTGACTAAATCAGTGGTCAGCTCTGATCCATTTTTGTTAACAAACACAACATATTTCACATTGAGCTTCAAAGATAAAACATACCTCTACACTAAAGCATACCTTTGCCGTATCAAGTCACCTCTGACCAGATTTGCTTTGACCTACATGTACATATAGTTTATTATGCCAATCGTATCCATGTTTCCAAGGGTTGTTTTTTAACCGAAATTTGGTAAAAATGCTAATTGGATGAAAGCCTAAAACATTTCCAATGAGACAAGAACAACACGTGGGTTTGTTTACGGGAACAGTCCCGAAAATTTGGTATTTTAGAGGGCGAGCGGTGTCATTTGATACGGTTTACAACTATGATTCCAAATTCTAATTTCAAGTGGGGACCATAGGTGTGATTTTTTTAGAAATCGAAGGGGAGATCAGGACCCCCCTGATACTCCCTTAAATCCACCACTACTTACGGTGCAGATCTATAGACTCACTGATTTTGTTTAACGATGTTTTTAAAACTTTAAAAGTAAGGGCCCGTTCAATGTACTCTCTTACGATTGTAAATAAACGTTCGAATATCGGTATGCACTAGTGGGCCTTATTTGGTCTTAAAGTGCAATTTAAGACTAAAACTGGTCTGAGGTTATCTTAAAGATTAAGGAGGACTCTTAACTTGAACTTAAGACTAAAACGTACTGAAAGTCCGGACAGTAAGACTATAATTGGCGTGAAATCAACTGAAGTGGTAAAAGCAATTATCTCCCCTCACACATTCAGTCCAAACTTGGACTGCTTTTCCAGCCAGACATGTGAAGGTAGCAATCAAGTAGAGGGCCATTGTGTGAGTAGCAAAAGGTGGTCTCTTGGCAAGTAAGTGTTAATTGCCTAATTGATAAGGGTGATTCAGATACTATCTCAGATAATTTTTAAAGCAAGGAAAGACTTGTTTGTAGAAGTACTAGTGTCGTTTTTAGTCTTAAGATCAAATTAAGAGTCCCTCCTTAATTTTTAAGTTCACCTTAGATCAGTTTCTGTTTTAAATTGCAATTTAAGACCAAACCAGTCCCACAAGTGATGGCTCACAAGAATTCATTGACGTACCTGTTACGGGTTTCAAAAGGGCGAACCACACAAGAAGCAGCAAGGCCTCTAAACAAATAGATCTTTCTGCAATTGTAGGAATAAATACGAGTTATCACAGAAGAAAACCTACCTGTCGATCAATCATAATGACTTTTGAGCACAGTCCATAAGTTTCATATTACACGTGCAAAATATGTAAGTCTGGAATTGTTTTCAAATTGTACCAACCTTTTATCATCAATTGTAGAATCATTTTCCATACTGTATCACCCACATTTTGTAACGTGTGGTGGTAAATGTACGCGTTACCGATTGTTTTATATCATGGTCTCACGCTGAAGGCGAAACAAAATCAAAACCATAAAACTGAAAGAGCAAAAGTTCATTGGCTTGGTAGTTGGACCATATATGTGACCTGGGAGAAAGATAGAATGAAATCAATGTGGAGTGCTAGGCTGAGCCACTGTGCCATTAGTTTGAGTTTTATGTCCGCAAAAAAATTTACATTAAACAAAAACACCACACAATTTGAGGTGGGAGACATTATGATATGTAGTGCCGGGGGATAATTATTCAAAAAGGAAGTGCGCATATGCCAACATGAGAAATGGAGACATATCAACTCACTTCACTTCAAACTGTATGGAAACCTGCAATTGTTTTATCTTTATTGGAATCGGCACGTTGATTTTCAATTTCTTTTCTTTTTTTTTTTACATCTCTTCTGATCTACTCACATCTCATTTTTGAAACAGCCCAAAATTCCAGAAAAACCATCCAGTTTTTATTTAGCGAGCAAAACGAATGTAGAAACTGAATAAGTGGCCGATCCCACAGTTACAACTACTTCTGGGAAAATGGAGTTTTCCTGTAGTCGACAAAGAGTAGCGGTGGGAAGAATGGAGACGGGAACACGCACTCGAGGAGGAGAAATTAAATCTAGGGTTACCTTCTAACCGTAAAGAGGTGGCAGGATTAATATGGATAAATCATAAAAAAATTACATGACCAGACAGAAAGATAGAATGAAATCAATATGCAGTGCTGGGCCAAGTCACCACAGCGTTAATTTGAGTTTTATGTGTGTAACAATAAAATATATATTAAACAAAACCACCACACCATTGAAGCTAGGGGACATCATGTTATGTAGTGCTAGGGGGTTATTATTCAGAGAGTAAGTGCGCATATGCAAACGTGAGAACTAGAGACACATTCCATAAAGACACTTCACTTCAAAGTGTATGGAAACCTGCATTTGTTTTATCTTTATTGAAATCGGCAATTTGACCCACTATATTAATTTTCAATTGTTGACTCATCATGCATTATTTTATTTAGAAACAGTTAAAAAACCTTGCAGTTTTTATTTAGCTGAAAAGGCAGAGGTGTCCACTATTCAAATAGTAAATGAGCATATAGGTAATATATTCTACGTAGTTTTATTGCAATTAGATGATTCATACCGATAAAAGAAAGATACTCATGTCGTAGGTCAAGCCAAAACTAAGTCTCAATGTAGCAGAGTATAGAATGACACGTAGACTTACTATTATTCTCCCACCAGTTTCTTTATTCTCTCTGTAGAAGTACATTTACACATGCGTTTTACACCTGTTGAGTGATGAATGACTGAAGAAATTATGACTTAGAATGACCTGTCGTGGGAAATTCATATCTCCCGCTCACGTGATCCACGTGACACTTCTTGTCAACCGGTTACATAAGCCCCCAAAAAATAAACATGGCGCCCCGACATTCCCATTTTTTTAATATTTATTCGAAATTTAAAAGATATATTTACAAAATGGTACCTCATGCCTCAGCCATCAGCCCCAACCATCAACTGTTACATGCTATGAGCACTCTGTTCCCACCTTAACATACGTGCAAGCAACCTTTACTTTTAAGGAAAGCGATTAATTACTGCACCTTGATTGATAATTCAAAACTACCAATGCTCGTTTTATATTATATGTATTGTTATAGAATAAAACAATAAAACATTTGTTTGACCATTTCGTACTAAAGCACAAATCATACATATTCACCGATGCCACTGGACGATGACCATCATCCCCAACAGCACTGGACGATGTCCATCTTCACCCACAACACTGGACGATGTCCATCTTAATCATAGAACTGGAGGATGACCTTCTTCACCCACAACACTGGACGATGTCCATCTTCATCATAGCACTGGAAGATGACCATTTTCACCCATGGCACTGGATGATGACCATCTTCACCCATGGCACTGGACGATGACCATCTTCACCCATAGCAATGGATGATGTCCATCAATTGTGATGTCAGTAAAGATGTTCTTGGTTTCTTCCATCAAATAACAAGTAGTCAGCACCATACTTTAGTCTGCTCTTCTATAACACTACAAATTAGTGCACATCTATAGAATTTACTACATATCTCTTTCATAAACAGAAAATCATTATGAGATGTGCATCAAAACGACTAAACTTTGCAGCTTTATTTACTCATATAATAGGAAAACAGAATAAACTAAAATATTACAAATACCCTGAAGCACTCTAAATTATCACTTGAGAGTCTAAACAGTTATACGTCCTTTAACAGTCCTTGGTCAACTTACATGTAAGGAAATGTTTCTGGAAAATGTTCAAGCAGAGTAATATTTCCCAGTAAAGTATAAGTTATTCTATCTGGTGTTTTGCACTCCTTTTGAGGATATCTACGAACTGGTTGTTTAACAACAACATGGCTATCCCCATGCACAATTGGAATAACATCAGATATGTACTGTTAGTTTCTGATTTGACAGATATGACCAAGAATATCAATGCTTTCATGGCCAGAAATGCGCAGCATTCACGCGATACGCGAGGGCGCTACAGTAGGACTTCACGTGACTCAACTAGCCAATCACAGCACAACAATGGCATCGCACACAGACTCTGTGATTTTATAGTGCTCTAACCCATTGTCAAGTAGTGTTAGTTCATGGTAACAAGCGTCTGACATGTGCAGAGAAGTTTATTATAATATATATTGTTCTTATTGTTACATTATTAAATCTAACTCTGTATCCAAGTAGTAACTATACTGTACCAAGTCAGGTACTGATGATGTGCAGAGGTCATATATTCCAGAATAAGCCATTACCACTAATTTATAACTTTAATTTTGTTGACTATGTTATTCATGAAAGAGTTCATGAAAGATTATTTTAATTTGTTAAATCGTGATCTTATTCTTTTTATATTCAAATAATTGAATAATGTGGGTAAAATTGGTCTTCCTCTTCTTATTTGCATTTTTCCTTTACTACAAGATTATTTTGGAAAAGTTGCAGCATTAAAATTTAAAATAAATAGCAATCTGAAAGAAGAAATTTGCATAATTATTAAATGATTATAGGAATTTTGGATTAAGAGATTAGTTAAATACTGAGTGGTGATATTGTCAGTCAATTTATGTAGAATCTGATAATATGATTGAAAATACTGATTGACTTCTTGGCCTTGCACTGGGCAGTTTCACATTTGTGCCAAGTGCTTTTTTGGACTTCATTGTTCAGTGGTAAAAGTTCTTCAATTGCCATGAAAGTTTTTAATCAGACTCTGTATGGTGTTGCTATCTGCTGGTGCTATCGGCAACGAATTAGTTTGCCTTTGTTTCTGAGTGAATCTACCGTCTAAAATCACTATTTCTGAAAATATGTGCGTTTTGCTGAGATAGGCTAGGCATACACGGCAAACTTCTTAGTACCTGTGTACAACAGAATTTTTTTTAAAAACCCTAGCGATATTTGGTCAGGAGTTACTTAAAGCATAGCACAGTGTTGCTGTCTATCGGCATCAGGCCGTTAGTTTGTCAATTATCACGAATTACCCACGAATCGCGAACCCTTTCATTTTCCTATGGCAATCTAGCAACTCATTTAAAGTGCACGCATGCGCAGTGGGCTAAGCGTGACGTCATGCAGTGCATTTCTGGGGATGCTTAAATAAAACTACACTTTGACGAACGTGCACGAATATTGAACTGACGAAGTCTCTGCAGCACACGTTGTAGTGCCATGTACTGTTTTTCCACAGTATCAGTGGTGACGAGTATATCATCAATTGAACAAGCAGCCTCCTCCATACCATCTAAAACTTGTTCTATAACAAGTTGGAACTGCTGCTGCGCAGTCGTAATACCATACGCCATTCGTCCTGGGCGTAACAAACCAATCAAAGTGTTAAACATGAGATACTGTTTTGATTTCTCACTAAGTTTCAACTAGGAAAATGCTTGGCGCAAATCTATCTTAGATCTGAACTTCCCTTCTGCATGTTTATCAAGTACTGAGACAGACAGAAGTGACTAAAACTTTGGGTTACTCTGTACAGAAAAGATGTTTGACCAATCTGACTTGTTTTCTCTAACTAATTTTGCCCGAACAGATCCCTTCACCACTACTAATGGTAGGTCTGCAGACTGGTCATTGTAACGCACTGCGACTGTAATTTCCCGCAATTTACTAAAAGGATTGCTGCAATAAGATGTGTGGTGCAATCGTATTGACTGTAAAGGGTAACTTTTAACTTTGATTCATAGAAATCGTGACCAATCAACATGACAGAGGCACCAGTGTCTAGCTCAAAGTCAACAGACTGTGTGTTAACCTGTAAAGTAAGAATAAACTTTTTTACATTCATTATCATTTACAGTACTGATAGAAGCATGAACAGGTTTTGTTTTGGTTACTTTGCTTCTGCACTTGATTGGGAAATGGTTCAACTTGTTACACTTTCTACAGATATTCCCCTTGGCAGGACAAACTCCGTTGTGTGGGTACTCTCCAGCGCTTCTTTAGTGCTTTTTGTTAAGTGCTTTGAAAAATTCAAATTCAGGATTATAATGAAGTCTTACGTACTGTCCAAAAGCAGCTACAGCAACCTTATATAATGTCGTTGTGTCTGAAAGATTCTATAAAACATCCAAAAATTGTTCGCCAGCGAAATGTAAAAGTATGGCTCTCTTTTGTTGTGAGTTTTTGATGTTCAATGCAACCATTAGATTTTCAAACCTTTCCTTCCTCTTCCCCCATCTTTTAAAAACAGCATTAGGCTCCTTTCTGATGTAGAATGGTGGAAAAACTGGTATATGAGTCAAATCCACTGCTTGAGGTTCTTCCTCGTTCATAATTTCTCGTTGCCAATGTGATGTTTTTCAGGATGTCCTTGGATTCTGCCATCAAATAACAAGTCCATATGTAGTAAGCAATATACTTTATTCTGCTCTCCTATGATCTCTGGAGATCTCATCTAACACAACAGACTAGTGAACATCTATAGTATTTACTGCAATAATCTCTAACAACAGTCATTACAAGCGTTACTTGGATATAGCTAAACACAGAGTCGAATACTTTGATACTTTTGTCAACATTTTTCTTTACAGGTATATCTCACGCCTTCTTACCTGCTTCTTTAACGATGCAACTTGTAAAATGACTTGGCCACTGGTATATATTGCAACCTTATCCTGGCGGACACATTTCCAATGAGACTATCGTTCTACGTAGATCGATTCAACTCTGCTGGGACTGTCGCTGAATGCAATCAGATTAGAGCACATCCTATTGTTTCCAACGTACTCGTTTGGTAGCCAGCATTACTGTATTCACTCAACGCCAGGAGGACGCGTGTCCATCTGTTAAACGTGATCTGGTAATTGAACTCAACGGGAATGCCTGCGGAGTTGGATAGATATACGTAGAACGACAATTTCATTTGGAATGAGTTTTTTATGTACCAACCCACCTGCACACACGGCGTGTCAAGGGAAACTTGAATCCAACTTCCACTGTTTGTAAGGTTTAATCATACCAACTTGGAGGTCTCGGGGTAAGAGTGTCCGCCTCGTGAGTTCGACCCAACCCGGAGATAAAGCGGCTCTTCAGAAGCGGTACATTCTGTCCATTTTCTTGAAACATCAAAGCAGTAGAGACCACGTGACCTGTCAATGAAAGAACGCATTCAGAACAGATGATCCTCGGACAAGCAGTTCCGCTGATCAAATATGGCCGATCCACTACCGAGCAATACCGACTGATTCCCAAATGGTCTCCCCGCCTCCACACCCGCTGTCGCGGTAGGGACCTGGCAATTATACCTCGAAGCCGGCACTTAATAGGGCATGTGGAGGCGGGGAGCCTATCAGGGAATTAAGCGGATTTCTTTTAAGAGAACCAGCCATACTAAACCGGCGGATCTGTTAGTCCGTGAATCACGTCTTTCTACATGTGCTTTTAGGGCAACTGGCTTGCAGAAAGTACGTAAACTTAGTGTAATGCGCTCGGTATACAGGTTTATTTTTTACTATGCTGTCACCTGCTGACTCGACTTTGCAAAGGCCGATGTAACGTGACAGAGTCCCCCTGTTGCAGCTAGAATTCGCAACCAGTGCATCTCAGCTAACACAATTATTCACGTCAAAGAGACAAAGAACCGAGATGGTAGCACGCTTTGTAGAATTCACAACGTCGTGTAGGTTTAAGATTAATTGATTAAATATTAAGTTTATAATGTGTAAGTTAATTTAAAGCTGTATATCTAATATGACAAGTTAAGTTAGTTTGTAAGTTAATTTAAACTTTTAACATGTGATTGCATGTGCACATGAGTATTACATGTATGTAACTCCCATGTGAGGAGGCATTTGTACTGTAAATGTGTTCATGTCACATATTTGCAAATTTACCCGCACGAAAACGCAGTATATACTCCAGCGCAGGAGACCACTGCAATCATACTGCAAACATGCTTCAGATCTGCTTCGATTTGGGAGCTAAGTAGCATATTTGAAACATGCTCCTATCATGCTGCTAATCTACTGCATTAATGCTCCTCTCTGTACAAACCTATGTACTTTTTGGAGTAGAATTGCAGTAGGCCATACTGCATTTCTACTGCAAACATACCCCACACCACTACTGCGTTAATGCTTCTTTGCTACTTCGATACTACTGCATTTTCGTGCGGGTAATTACAGTACACTCTTCTTTACTTATCAACGTATATCTCTTATTATTGTTTATCTCAAAGAAATCTAACAGAATGAATTTTTTCTTTGGTACATGTCCTAGCTGCACAGGTCACTCATACTTCTTCCTGCAGAATGGAATTAATAAGAAAATGAAGTTGCTCAAAGAGCACAGATGAAAGAGTGGAATGATAACAAGCTCCCCAAATTTTGTTTATGTTTGCCTGTATGATTTCATGAAATCTGTTTAATTCACTGGACCTAGTATGTATAAGAAAGAAAACTCAATATGATATGATGATGCTATTTTTTTTTCTTTTCAGACATGTTCATGTGTTAAATAAAGTTTATAAGAAAGCAAGTCGTTGAATTCACTAGCAAGCCCCACCCCCCCATGATACAGAGTCCGCTTTCCATTCATTTATACAGGTAAGACTCACCCCAGATTTTGACCCATTTAGGTCAGGCTAACCCTAAACATTATAACTAAATGGAGAGCGGACTTTCAGTTACACTGACCCTCGGTTTCCTTACATCAGGTCATACCAAGACATTATAGAATGGATGCTGCCTTCCCTTCGGCTACAGGGGTAATGCATGGGATAAAGACCAAAACACAATAATACTAGTCCGTGTGCTTGACGGTGATAATTTCAAGCGCCACATAAATATTTTGCGATATTCGGGTCGCCGAGACCAAGATAGAACGGATATAGTCTGAGACAGATAAATACAAAATTTCAAACGTATTTAACTCTTCAAACTCTTACTACTTTTTTTTTAATTTACATAATACGGCTGCGCTTTTGCAGGATAACGGATTTTTGATATCCTATATTTCATATGTTAAATGACTGATAAAAAGTATTTGTCTTTTCTTATCGTTAAGAGAGGACACAAGTTGTGCAAAATCGCCTGATCTCGTTTAATCAAAGGTAAAAGACTAGAAACTCAAATTAGTGTAACATTTTACTCTGGCATTAATTTCTGTTACTTGGAATTAACTTAAAAATGACAGAGGTACTATACGAATACAGTATACATATAATGCAATCTAAGGAGGGCGTTAACTAACGTGTCAAATGCCCCCTCAGGACTCCGCAATGCCTGAATATGTAACCTCAAATCCGACCTTTCACTGTCATTTCCACAGAGATAAAGAAATGCCCATTAAATTGAAAAGACACCACCAAATATTGTCCCAGCAGCAAATGAACAATTTACTTATTTTTTAAATATATATCCTTAAGCAGAAGAAGGAAAAAACATCAAACAACAGTTATCATTTATGAGTGATGGATTTACACTATTCTCAGAAAAGTTCGTTCTTTATAAAATACTAAACTCAAGCCTCTGTGTGACCGATAATTTTGCCGGAAAAAAACACCCTCGAACACGTCCTTAGCTGCCAAGTCTGCCACAATCCAACAGCGTCCAGTATTAAACTGGCATCAAATGGTGGATAATCTTCGTCTAAGAGCAGCTATAAGGAGTTTCTCTCTGAGTCGCTGGCGAAAGTATACCACGTAGATGGCTCCAGTGCCAACGGCCACGATGACTATTATCGTACCAAGTATCACCATTCGGAATTCTGCTGCATACAGGTTTTCTTCTAACATCGCTCCAGCAGATTCTGCATATGATAAAAAGAGTAATTGAAAAAAATATTATAAGCATACAATCTGTATCGGTACTTTGTAACGCAAAACATTTTTTATTATTCGTTGATAAACCATTAAATTGGAAACTAAGATATTGTAAAGTCTTCAATATTAGCTTTATCACAAATCATTATGACAACGAACGTTATTTTATGAAGCACCGCGATTGCAATAAATAGAAAAAAAACATACATGAATGAAAGAATCGGTAAATAAAATCGTAGATCATACCGACTGTTTCCATTCCAATAGATCCCAACAAGCTAACGAAAGTATCCGAAGGCAAAACGGCACCGGTGACGCCAGCATCGGTTCTAAAACCTGTGGACGCCGTTCCAATGAAGACATTAGTGAAGGTACTTTGAGGGACTGTAGTTTGCTGCCGCACCCGAATCATAACCATAGAGTCACCTTTCTGTCCTTTCATTCCTCTGGCGGGTAATCCTTTATTTCCTTTCTCTCCCTTCATACCAACCATACCAGCCTCGCCCTTGTTGCCAAAATTTCCTTGGAATCCTTGCACTCCTTTGTCTCCTTTTTGTCCTTTAACGTCGCCAGGTGGACCTTGTGTACCACTCTGGCCTGTAAAAAAGAAGTGATAGACACTCTTTAAAATAATATGAAAAGTTGATATAAAATATAAATACAAGTACTTCCCTAACGAATAATCTAATAGTATCCTATAAGATCTTATAGGATACTATATGAAAGTGGGCTTCTTCGTAAGGGTTACCTAATAACGAATAGTAATGATAAGTTGGATGTATTTCATTAAATTTTTAAAAAAGCCTACCGACATTTTTTTTTGACAAAAATGAATTCCACATAATCAAGCTATGTGTATGTAGAAATATTGTACGGTAATCATGAAGTTAACACAGTTATATGAGTTTTTTTATAAATATTTCGATATTGGTCAAACTGTGTTCTATTGCCTTGACTCTGGTTCCGTCTCACCTTGTTTACCAAAGATTCCTGACAAGTGTGTAAAACGTCAACATTTTGGAACGTTATATTGAAATCATAAGGTTTTCGTGTATTTAAAATGAAGACAGATGTCTTTATATGAAGTAGACATTGGTAACAATGAGTGAATAGGTGGGTTAAAGCACATAATGTACATGCACAGATAATAAATACATATGTCTAGTACCAACCTTTATGTCCGGCAATTCCTGGCGGACCGCCTGTCCCGTTTAATCCCGCAAGTCCCCCTGTACCTGGTGGTCCGCCTGTTCCCACAGGCCCACTGGTGCCAGGTGGGGCACCATAACCACGTGGTCCTTCCCTTCCTGGAGGACCACCCGTCCCTGGAGGTCCACCGGTCCCTGCAGGCCTTCTAGTCCCGGGAGGCCCGGATGTGCCAGAAGGTCCATCTAGACCCGGCGGTCCTCCCGTGCCT